GTTGACAAACATAGTTTTGGTCATCATTGCAATTATAGGAAGTAATAAAGAAAGACAGGTTTTCACATATAAATATACTATCTTGGACATCTTTTTATGATTGTGAGCACTCATTAAAATATGACATGCTAAAAAGTTGATGTTGGACAAGGAAGACAACATAATGGGTTATGTTTTCTTATATCCGAAATAAATTATATTGTCATGGATCATCCAACATGTTGAGATTGCCTTTCCCCCTCATGCTAGCCAAATTCTTTGCACCAAGTAGAGATACTACTTGTGCTTCCAAACATCCCTAAACCCAGTTTTGCCATGAGAGTCCACCATACCTACCTATGGATTGAGTAAGATCCTTCAAGTAAGTTGTCATCGGTGCAAGCAATAAAAGTTTCTCTCTAAATATGTAAGATCTATTAGTGTGCAGAAAATAAGCTTTATACGAGCTTGTGATATGAAAGAAATAAAAGTGACGAACTGCATAATAAAGGTCCTTATCACAAGTGGCAATATAAAGTGACATTTTTTTGCATTAAGATTTTGTGCATCTAACCATAAAAGCGCATGACAACCTCTGTTTCCCTCTGCGAAGGTCCTATCTTTTATTTTTATCTTCTACCCTTATACAAGAGTCATGGTGATCTTCACCTTTCCTTTTTACACGTTATCCTTTGGCAAGCACTATGTGCTAGAAAGATCCTGATATATATATTCAATTGGATGTAGGTTTTCATAAAGTATTATTGTTGACATTACACTTGAGGTAAAAGGTTGGGATGCGATATTAGAAGCCCCTATCTTTCTCTGTGTCCGATTGAAACTTCATACCCATAAGTATCGCGTGAGTGTTAGCAATCGTGAAAGACTAAATGATAATTGAGTATGTGGATTTGCTAAAAAGCTCTTATTTTGACTCTTTCCGATGTTATGATAAACTGCAATCGCTTCAATAACTAGATCATCGTTTGTTAGTTTTCAGTGAAGTTTCTGATTCATACTTTACATTGTGAATGGATTGTTACTTTAGCATAAGAAATTATATGAAAATATATATGTTATTGTTCTAAGAATGATCATGATGCCCTCATGTCCGTATTTTATTTTTATCGACACCTCTATCCGCAAACATGTGGACATATTTTTCGATATGGGCTTTCGCTTGAGGACAAGCGATGTCTAAGCTTGGGGGAGTTGATACGTCCATTTTGCATCATGCTTTTATATCAATATTTATTGCATTATGGGCTGTTACTACACATTATGTCACAATAGTATGCCTTTTCTCTCTTATTTTATAAAGTTTACACGAAGAGGGAGAATGCCGGCAGCTGGAATTCTGGGCTGGAAAAGGAGCAAATATTAGAGACCTATTCTGCACAACTCCAAAAGTCCTGAAACTGCACGAAAGTCAGTTTTGGAATATATTAAAAATATTGGGCGAAGAAATCACTAGAGGGGGGCCACCCAACAGCCACGAGGGTGGAGGGCGCGCCCTACCCCCTGGGCGCGCCCCCTGCCTCGTGGGCCACCAGGCAGGCCCCCGATGCCCATCTTCTTATATATGGTGTCTTTTTCCCTGGAAAAATCATAAGGAAGCTTTCGGGACGAAGCGCCGCTGTCTCGAGGCAGAACCTGGGCGGAACCAATCTAGGGCTCCGGCGGAGCTGTTCTACCGGGGAAACATCCCTCCGGGAGGGGGAAATCGTCGCCATCGTCATCATCATTGATCCTCTCATCGAGAGGGGGTCAATCTCCATCAACATCTTCACCAGCACCATCTCCTCTCAAACCCTAGTTCATCTCTTGTATCCGATCTTTGTCTCAAAACCTCATATTGGTACCTGTGGGTTGCAAGTAGTGTTGATTACTCCTTGTAGTTGATGCTAGTTGGTTTATTCTGTGGAAGATCATATATTCAGATCCTTTATGCATATTAATACCCCTCTTGATTATGAACATGAATATGATTTTTGAGTAGTTACGTTTGTTCCTAGGGACATGGGAGAAGTCTTGTTATAAGTAGTCATGTGAATTTAGTATTCGTTCGATATTTTGATGAGATGTATGTTGTCTCTTCTCTAGTGGTGTTATGTGAACGTCGACTACATGACACTTCACCATTGTTTGGGCCTTGGAGAAGGCATTGGGAAGTAATAAGTAGATGATGGGTTGCTAGAGTGATAGAAGCTTAAACCCTAGTTTATGCGTTGCATCGTAAGGGGCCGATTTGGATCCATATGTTTCATGCTATGGTTAGGTTTACCTTAATTCTTCTTTCGTAGTTGCTGATGCTTGCGAGGGGGGGGGGGTTAATCATAAGTGGGATGCTTGTCCAAGGAAGGGCAGTACCCAAACACCGATCCACCCACATATCAAATTATCAAAGTAACGAACGCGAATCATATGAGCATGATGAAAACTAGCTTGATGATAATTTCCATGTGTCCTTGGGAGCGTTTTGCTTTATATAAGAGTTTGTGCAGGCTTGTCCTTTGCTACAAAAAGGATTGGGCCACCTTGCTGCACCTTGTTTACTATTGTTACTTGTTACCCGTTACGAATCATATTATCACAAAACTATCTGTTACCATAATTTCAGTGCTTGCAGAGAATACCTTACTGAAAACCGCTTGTCATTTCCTTCTGCTTCTCATTGGGTTCGACACTCTTACTTATCGAAAGGACTATGATAGATCCCCTATACTTGTGGGTCATCAGCAAGCGACTCTGACTTCACTACAAGCGACGGCTGACAAAGCCCACACGGCAAAGGCCGCGAAATGCCACATGAAAATCCAAGCCAAGCAATCAACCACCCACATTGACGACATTGCAACTCTGATTCTAATCGCGAGTTATGAAGCATGCAAGGAGATCATCTGCTTAACTATGATCCAAGTGGTGGGCGCACCGCTATGCAAAGCAAGGCTTAAGAGCATCTCCAATAGACGACCCATATGTAAAAATACCTAACTTTTGAATCTTCGAGAGCAGAAAACGTTGCTCCAACAGACGGTTCATATGTAAAAAAAATTGGACCACCGCCTCCCGAAGGTGTAAAATTGAAAACTTCATGATGCAAATTTACATCACGAGATACAAGTGATGTAAAACCACGACCGCCCACCAAACGACCAACCACCACTTCATTCTCCTTGCGCCTCGCGACCGCCCGCCCGCTCCCCGCCCGTCGCAGCTCCCCGATGTCGGCCTGTCGTAGATCCAGCCCCCCGTCGTT